GTGGTTGCACAGGGGCAAGAGGCAGAAAGACTAAAAGCTGGTCTGAAAGACAAAGAGATACAGGCCAAAAGAGGTGTGGGGACTGAGGGTCAGCCACCTGCCACCTTTTCCTTCTCCACCCTGCCTCTTCTGGGCTAAGAGCCACAAAAGTACCCATTTCCTAGCCACTAGTCAGATGCGGGCTCTGAGGAAGGAAATTCAGCTGCTTCAATTGGGCAGCTTTATTTTGCCACTAAGTTCAGGTAGGGGCAAACCACTGTGGAGACTCCTCCACCTTCTCTCCCTGCCAGGCCCACCAAGCCAACGATAATCAGAGCAGGAAAAAAGGGTGAGACAAAGCTAGCTATCTCAAACACGAAGTTCCCAATCTTAAGTGGGTGGGGGAGGGGGGAGTGCCCACTACCCCCCAACTCCCCTATCCACTGTTAATGTTTTTTGGTGTAGCTGCCAGGCTTTCTGGGCTATGCAAGGCAGATACACAATGGGTGATGTGTGCCTGTTTGTAGGAAGCCCAGATAGCACATCTCTTTTACTGTTCTTTTTCTGCCCAGTTCCCTTTCCCTTCAGGTTCCTTCTCCTGCCCCTTTCCTCCTCGTCCTCTTTCCTGACACCCTGAAGCTCCCAGACACACATTTTGATTTCCTTTCCTTGCCCTGTTTTTGCCAGATGCTGTGCTAAGTACTTTCTTGCATTATCTCCTTTCATCTTCTTCACCCCAAGGCCCACAATGGTAGGTGGGTGCCCTGTCCCTAAAGCGATCTTGTAGCTGGAAAATGGGAACACCAAGAATCCCACCCACATCTTTCCAGTGCCAAGGATTTTTCATTTCTACACTGTGCTGCTTTCCTTCTCTTAAATATTCCAACTGTCTCCTATTATTGGGAAAAGTCTATATTGCAATCATCAGTGGACTTTTCGGGGAAGAGGCAAATAATCATCTTGGGAACAATGTGCAGTGACACTTCACTTATTTGGAGGTCAGCTATAGGGCAACAGTGCAGGGTTTGAGGGAGCAGAAAGGACCCCTCAGCAGCTAGAATACTCATGTGCTTTACTCACTGGGTAGATTCTCCAGTCCTCAGTCATGGTCTACTTACTTTTCACTTACTTTTATTCACAATTTTAATGTGTCCATGTGTGTTCCTGTACTAGCAGATTAGAAACACATTTAGAGTAGCAAGTGACCCCTTGTAGTCAGGGAGGCACCACCACACACACACACACACACACACACACTCTTAAAGCATTCATATGCATTTTATAAGTGGTCTAAGGTCATTTAGCATAAAAGCAAATAGCTCCCCGTGCCCCTACTGTTGCAACTTCAGAAGACACTGCTGGAGAAAAGCCATTGCTTTCTGTGAATGATCCTCAGTTATGCAGAAAATTTTTATTATATTGCAGATACGCTGAAGACAAGTGTAACATTTTAGAATGACTTCCTTCCAAAATGAGTATTTTTATTTTTTTCAGAGACAGGGTCTCGCCCTATTGCCCAGGCTGGACTGCAGTGGTGTGATCATGGCTCACTCTAACCTCAACCTCCTGGGCTGTGCACTTGCCCGTGTCCAGGCTCCGTCAGGAATGGGAGGTCCCATGGAACAGTGGGATAAGGGTGAGATTTGGAACAGAGCCATACTGGGTCTAAATCCACCACTTGGTAGAGACTGGGCCAGTCTTCTGATTTCCCTGAAACTCCTCCTGAGCCTGCAAAATGGGGTTTATGATGCCCATGGCCCAGCTCTGTTGTGTGGGTTCACTTCAGATGATGAAAAATCTGGCATCATCAGGCACTCACTTTTTTTTTTTGAGACAGGGTCTGGCTCTGTTGCCAGGCTGGAGTGCAGTGGCGCGAGCTCGGCTCACTGCAACCTTCGCCTCCCGGGTTCAAGTGATTCTCCTGCCTCAGCCTCCTGAGTAGATGGGAATACAGGCGCGCACCACCATGCCCAGCTTATTTTTGTATTTTTAGTAGAGACGGTGTCACCATGTTGGCCAGGATGGTCTTGATCTTTTGACCTCGTGATCTGCCTGCCTCGGCCTCTCAAAGTGCTGGGATTACAGGCATAAGCCACTGCGCCACATCCAGGTACTCACTCTCTAACCAAGGTGCTTCTGCAGCCTTGGGCTGTGTGGCTGGGGGGTCCTTCTCCCCTCTCAGCGAGGCCTGGAGCTTGGTTCAGGCCCAGGATTTTTTTTTTTTTTAATCTATTTATTTATTTTGAGACCAGGTTATGAGACTGGCTAGTTTTTAGTATTTTTGGTAGAGACAGGGTTTTGTCATGTTGTCCAGGCTGTTCTTGAACTCCTGGCATCAAGCGATCCACCTGCCTTGGCCCCTCTAAAGTGCTGGGGTTACAGGCCTGAGCTACTGTGCCTGGCAGAATTTTGTTTCTTAAGGACTGAGTTCTGGTATCTTCTTTTTTTTTTTTTTGGAGATGCAGTCTCTCTGTCACCCAGGCTGGAGTGCAGTGGTGCGATCTTGGCTCACTGCAACCTCGGCCTCCTGGATTCAAGCAATTCTCCTGCCTCAGCCTCCCAAGTAGCTGGGACCACAGGTGCATGTCGCTACACCCAGCTAATTTTTTGTATTTTAGTAGAGACGGGGTTTCACCGTGTTGCCCAGGTTAGTCTCGAATTCCTGAGCTCAGAAATCTGCCCGCCTTGGCCTCCCGAAGTGCTAGGATTACAGGCATGAGCCACCACACCCGGCCCTGGTATCTTCTTTTATCTTAGATTCTAGATTGTGATTCACAGCCTGAGCCTTATCTCATGCTGAAAACACCTCCCACCTTCCCACCAAGAACCTCGATGTGGATCCCACACCCCTAAGACCAAGCATCTTGGATATTGGTATCTATCTTGATGGAATTTTAAGTTGCTTCATTTCTTTTCTTGGGCCCTGGTGGAAATAAACCTGAGTGACTACTCCCCAGTGCCATCACTTGGGCAGGACCCTCTGTCTTAGTTTCTCCATGCTGCCTGTACAAGGTCAGTCCCCTATCCTGGCTAGCCTGGGGCTTCACTATGGCTGACAAGAGTAGTATTACTGCCTACGCCTCATACAGCACACAACCAGAACCTAGAGAAACTTCTTTCAGGCCCACTGATCTATAATCACAGGCCTCCTTGGTGAACTTTCCTAAAGTCCTTCCAGCATTTGGAAGCATTCCACCACGAGGAGCAGTTTTACCTTAAGTCTTTGTCCACTGTCTTTTTTTTTTTTTCAGACGGAGTCTCGCTCTGTTGCCCAGGCTGGAGTGCAGTGGCCGGATCTCAGCTCACTGCAAGCTCCGCCTCCCGGGTTTACACCATTCTCCTGCCTCAGCCTCCCGAGTAGCTGGGACTACAGGCGCCCGCCACCTCGCCCAGCTAGTTTTTTGTATTTTTTTAGTAGAGACGGGGTTTCACCGGGTTAGCCAGGATGGTCTCGATCTCCTGACCTCGTGATCCGCCCGCCTCGGCCTCCCAAAGTGCTAGGATTACAGGCTTGAGCCACCGCGCCTGGCGTCTTTGTCCACTTTCAATTTGCAATACCACTAGGAGAGAAAAGGTCTGGATGAAGGGGAATGAAGATATCAGGCTGCAGGTATTTGAGGTGGCTATGGGGGAAGAGAAGAGCAAAGAAGAGGGCAAAGACCAGGCTATGGAGAGGCAGGGGAGGGATAATCACTGCTTCACTATTTCCATTGGGCCTGATGCTGAATGGACCAGGATTGTTTGCACTTGGGAAGGAGGGCCCAAAGGGAGAACAGTAAGCAAGAACCAGGTTCTCCGGAGCCCTCTCCCCAGTCCCTGGAGAGGGTCAGCAGTGAAAGGAGCTCAGGTCTTCCCTGAGCCAAGGTGCCAGGGTCCCAGAACTGCACATGGGCCCACATCCCTTTCTGCTACTTCCTCAGGCTCTTGCTCACTAGAAGAGAGGGAAATTGTGCAATTAGTGCTGGGTTTGAGGATGCTGACAGCGTGTAATCAACAGGGCCTCTCCACCAGGTGTGGGGCGAGGCTGGGTACTGGGCTCCACCAGGTGTGGGGCTAGACAAGAAGAGCCTTAGGGGAGCCTCTTTTCCCAGGGACTGGCTCCATTAGGGAATTCCTCAGTTTTGCTCCTGAGGCATCACTCCCACCCCTACAGCTTCCTTCTACATCTTTTCCCTCTATCTTCCTCCCAAACTCTGGGGCAGCTTCTGTCACTTTGCTCACTAGGGGCTGGGTTCCAACACTGCTTACGAATCATTACCTCCATCACCCACCCCAGCTCTGCAACTCTGGCCGCTGCTTGTGCTCTCAGGCCCAGGGGCTTGCCTATAATCCTTGCCCTCGTCTCCTCAGTTTGCTTGTTCTGTGGACACTCCTCCTGTCTAGAATTCACAGCTCTATTCCAACTGCTGACAGCACTCTTTAGATTCCAGTTTGGGCCCTCTTCCAGGAAGACCTCTTGGATTTGGCCATGGTGATGCCAGCACCACACATCCTGAATGTTTGTGAGCTTTCCCTCCACTCACCTTTGCCTGCCTTGAGGTATCCTGGCTGAGAATCCATCTGTCTTGCATAGGACAGACTGCTAAATGCCTGGTAGGTGTGGAGGGTGGAGGGTAGGAGTCATGACTCCTGTGTCCCACCAGGGACAGTTGCTCCTATGTTCTGGGCTCGGGGAATGCTCCATAAATGAGAACCTTCCTGACCGCAAGGCCCAGCTGGCTCCCCTGACTTCTATCTTGGCAGTGAGGAAACAGGCTTGGTGCACACCCCTGGAGTCAGTCACTGCAGAGCTAGGTGCCAGGCATTTGAGTGGAAATGGAGAGGGCTGATCCTTAGGGTTCCTAGAATGTTCTTACCTTCTGTGTGGTATAAAAATCAAGAGAGTAGTGGTTGGGAGATGACCAGGAAGAGGGCAGGAGGTAGAGGGCCAAGCAAAGGGCTCCACAGGGAGGAGTGGGATGAGATGAGCATAGACTGAGATGGGCAGCGGCAGGGCTCAGGCTCGCAGCTAATTTGCAAAATTTTGAGATATATCATTCCTTTATTTTTTACCTCAACTTACTGAGCAACGCATAGCTATGGAACAGAAGCATTTGTTGCACGCTTTTTGTGAGCCAGGCCTTGTAGGAGAGATTGTGGATGGCAAAATCTCAGGTTCTGCCGAAATCCTCCCCTTGGGGGCTGGAGGATCTCTAGTTAATTGGCATTCAGGTGCTTAAGGCCACTTTTGGGTGGAGGTTTGGCAAAGATGGAGTGTCCAGACCTATGATCCTCTAATAACTTTACTTTTTAAAAACAGCCACCCAAATGATGGTGGCGCGGGGAGCAGGTGGTGGTGAAGGGACTGGGGTCTCTGGCCATGGCCATGTACAGAGGAGACTCTGTGAGCGCTCTCCCTGCCTGAGGGACACCTAACTTTATAGCATAGACTGAGGGTCAACAGGAGGCCCACCAAGTCCCTCAGATCCAGGGACAGGGAAGGAAGTGGTGGAGGGGAGGCTGACCCACCTCTAAAGGGTTGTGCCACTATGAGTAGAGCCCCCAGGGGAGAGGCCCCAGTAGAGCCCCCAGGTCCCCTCAGGTAAGCAGTGGCTCATCCTCTGCCTCAGCTACCCACACCCCCGGCTCAGCCAGTGGCACCAGTAGCACATCGTCCTCATCTTCTGGGGCCAGGACTGCTGTGTGGGGTCCAGCGGGGCTCCGGGTTGGTCCTGGGGGCCCCAGGCTGGGCAGGAGACGGCCTCGCAGGGCCTGTACCACTCCAGACAATAGCGATGGCTCTAGAGGCAGTGAGGGCAGTGGCCCTGGGGCTTCGGGGACAGTAGTGGGGGCTGGAGACGTGCTAGCAGATGGGAGGGGAGCTTTGATGGGCAGTGGGGGTGCCTGCTCCCCATCTTGCCCACCCACTGCCCCGCCCTCACAGGCTGGACCTGTGCCACCATCTAGGGCCTCAAGGGGAGCAGCGGAATGTGTGACCTGGGATCTGGCCTCAGAGGCCCGAGCTGGGGTGTTGGTTCGAGGGAGCAAGCCCCAGCGGCGGAGACGGCGTACCAGGCGGCGCATCAAGCGGCCCCGCTGACGACGGCGGGCACCTGAGCCACCTCCTGGAGTCATATCCTGGCGTAAGATCTGTAGCAGAGAACGCAGGTTGCCCAGCACTGAGTTCTGCAAGGAGATGAGAAGACCTCAGAGTCAGAGGGCCAAAGGTTGGATGAAGGAGGGTACAGGGGTGGGGCCACAGCAGAACTGGGACCAGGAGGTGCTAGGGTTGTGGGGAGTGACTTACGTCATTAGGATTCTCTGTAGGAAAGTCTTCTACAGGCGGGATGGCACCCTGGGCAATGAGCTGCCCGTAGGAAGGGGGTGCCTGCTGCTGCACAATCTCAGCCTCCATCCGGGAGAGGGGGGCAAAGATGCTAGAAGGAATGATGACTGCTCAGTTGCTGGTAGTTCTTGGCCAGAGTAGACCACCTCAGCCTGGACAGTCCTCCTGCTTCCACACCTGGGCCAGGCCAGCTGGAGCTGTGCCATGGCTTTCCCAAAGGTCATCTGAGGTCCCTCCTCCCTTGAAACTGCTTTCAGGATCTGGACCTGTCCCTTACAGGACACAACTGATAAGCTGATTATGGGAGCCTCTCCCCCAAGGTGGGCGCTTTCATGGTCTCCTGTAGCTGCACGGCCCAGCCTCACCCTCAGGGTCTACTCCTCTACTGCCAGTCCCACTCCCACTGACCTGTACTCCTGGGTGCGAATGGCATAAAGCTTGCAGGTGCAGCCCAGGGCGATGACCAGAAGCAGACCGCACACTAGGCTGCCAATGACTGCGGCGGTAATGACCTTGCGGGGCAGAACATAGGAGCAGTCCCACTCATCACTGCCGTCCGCACAGTCAGGCTGCCCGTCGCACACCCATGTCTCATACACGCACTTCTCATCCCGGCATCGGAAATTGCCAGGCTGGCAATGCCGACAGCGTCTCTCGTCTGCTCCATCAGCACAGAAAGTCTGGTAGTTGCAGCGGTCAGCAGGCAGGTAGCAGGCTGTGGCACCAGAGGTGCCAGCAGCCCCGCAGGGGAAGTGTCCAGGTGGGCAGCCTGGGCAGTCCTCCTCATCTGTGCCGTCAGCACAGTCCCACGAGCCATCACAGCGCTGTGCCTCACTGTAGCAGCGCTCACCTAGGCCTTCGCCAGCCCCCAGGCCAGAGCCTAAGCCACAGGGTCTATCCCAAGGCAAGCAGTAGCCCCGCACATGGTAAGTGGCATTGAAGCCACGACCATTGCTCCAAGCAACTGTGTGGTAGGACACAACAGCCTGGCCAGATAGTGTCTCCACAGTGACAGCCTTGCCATTGCTGAAGTGGGTGAGACTACGTAGTAGTCGGGAGCTCTCAGGAGGCCCAGGGCCATCAAACACATGCACTGCATCTCCAAAGCCCAAGTCCAGGGCTGTGAAGCGCACGGCCAGCCGCCGGCCATCATGGGGGTCCAGCAGCCAATGGCAGGACTGGGGGTGGGAGACTGAGGCAAGGTGTGCATATCCAGGGGAGGAGAAGACCCCATAGAAGTCCTCCAAGGTGAGATTGCAAGGCAGGGAGGGGATGGGCCTTGGGGTCAGGCCAGGGAAGGGGTCTGAGCTGCAACCTGCTTCATCAGAGCCATCGCCACAGGCATCAATCCCATCACAGCGCTGGACAGCAGATACACAGCGGTGGTTGAGGCACTGGAACTCTTCCTGCAGGCACATCAGCCAATCTGCAGAGGCACCATGGAGAGGGGCTGTGAAGCACCAGAGCCCTCAGGATCCTCCCCTCCTGCCTGGGGCTTTCACTGCCTACTCCTCAAACATCCCTGTCCAGCCTACCTTGGCTGTAGGAAAGCAGGAAGCCCTGGCCCATGGGTGCTCTGGCCCCAGCATAGCTGTAAGTGATGGTGACGTTGCCTCCGGGCAGCTGCAGAGGGCTGGGAGGTGCCTCACACAGGGAGATCGGTGGCTGGAGAGGGGAGCGTAGGGTTAAGTGCTCTGAGCCACAGGCCAGGTGTAGTTTCTGGAACCTATGGGAGTAGAGGAGAGCAGGACATGAGATGCTCTTGACTGCTGCTGGCTTTCTCCTCCCCCGGTGCCACCAGGCCCCTAGTATCCCAGGAAGCACAAACATCTGCTTCTCCGTGATCTAAATGGTCAAATAAAAACTCAGCCTATTTATTTATTTAGAGACAGAGTTTCGCTCTTGTCACCCAGGCTAGAGTGCAATGGCGTGATCTCGGGTCACTGCAACCTCCACCTCTTGGGTTCAAGCAAGTCTCTTGCCTCAGCCTCCCAAGTAGCTGGGATTACAGGTGCCCGCCACCACACCTGGCTAATTTTGTATTTTTAATAGAGACGGGGTTTCACTGTGTTGGTCAGGCTGGTCTCGAACTCCTGGCTTCAGGTGATCTGCCCGCCTCAGTCTCCCAAAGTGCTGGGATTACTGGTGTGAGCCACCACGCCTGGCAGCCAAATTATTTTTAAGTGAATGTAATCAATGGGGATCTTCCTAACATGGGCTGGTATCATCATAAGACCATAAGATATCCTAGAGCCCTTTGGAAAAACTGACTTGTGTTCCGGGACTGAGTTAAGAAGAGGTGCACTGCATTCCAGTTGTTGTAGCACTGTCACCCAAGTATGGTACCAGCAGTAACTGGTGATTACCATACAGTTCAATTAACCAGAACTCACCATCTTACCCTACCCCATTGTGCCAGATGTGAGACCTGGGTTGGTTTTCCACAGCATTCTGATCCCTTTGCCCTGCCAGCCTCTCCACAGATTGCCTCTCTCTTTGCCTACCTCTTTCTGGGTGAATTTATGGAAAATGAACTATGTGAGGCAAATAGCCAGGTACTCAATATGATCCCCAAACAATGATCCAAGGTCAGGGGAGCCTGGGGAAACTTGGAATGTTTAAAAGATCCAGAGAGGCTGAGGAATGTTCTAGGCTGATTAAGGAGTAGTTCGGAATCTCACACAGGACATGCAATGAATGGAAGGACTCCTCAGAACAGTTCTATCTGAGCTGAGGACCGTTTGTAGAGTGGCCTCTGTCCTTTGGAGATGCCCAGGACCCAAGCTAGATGTCCACTCCAGCCCAGCTCCACTTCAGTTCATTGAGTCTGGCCCAGAAAAAGTCAGGCTTTTAGGGCACACTAGGCCAAATCAAATTCTACTCTTTCCCTGTTGACAAGGATGGAAATTCCATAGAGAAGTGATCCCTGAATGGGCCAGGCCCAATGGCTCACGCCTTTAATCCCAGCACTTTGGGAGGTCGAGGCAGGTGGATCACTTGAGGTCAGGAGTTCAAGACCAGCCTGGCCAATGTGGTGAAACCCTGTCTCTACTAAAAATACAAAAAAAATTAGCTGGGCGTGGTGGCAGGCACCTGCAATCCCAGCTGCTCAGGAGGCCAAGGCAGGAGAATCACTTGAACCCAGGAGGTGGAGGTTGCAGTGAGCTGAGATTGTGCCCTTGCACTCCAGCCTGGGTGACAAGAGTGAAACTCTGTCTCAAAAAAAAAAAAAAAAAAAAGAGAAAGAAATGTACCTGAAGACTTCCAATGGAGGGGAAGGGGCAAGGGAGAAGAATGGGTTCTTGTTCTTGTTCCGCTTCTCACCTGACGGTGACAGTCTGTTCCTTGCTGCCCAGGATGAGCCAGGTGCAGTTGGCAGGGGAGCTGCGGCTGTCCCGGACCAGGGGCCTCTGTAAGGTGCCCTGCACTTCTAAGAGCACTGCTGGGGGGTCCTCACAAGCTGGAGAGAGGAAGGTAGGACACTGGTAGTAGACAGCCCTTAGCATCTCACCCTTCCCCTTCCGCTTGGAGGCTTGAGGTTTCCAAAAGTCTGGGCTCTGCAAGGAGGAGCAAAGTACCTGCCCCTGCCCACACACATCCTAGAGTTACAGCCCTCTGGCTTCGCTCTTTCTCTCCACATTCTTCATAGCTTCACCAGTTAATACTAATACCACGAACAATTCTGAAGTCTGCCTTGTGCCAGTCACTGAACCAGGAGAAGCAGGAAATACTACCTCTACCCTCAGGGAGACTACATCCTGGTTAGGACGATCAGGCATAGGATATTCCCAGAAAAAATAAAATAGTACATAGCAACTACCAGATGAAGGTCCACACCGAGCCTTATTTTCATCTATAAAATAGAGGCTAAATGATCTCCCCTCTAAAACTGTGGTAGGTTCCATGGAATTGAGGGAACAGAGCGTCCTTCTCGAGTGCCCCCACATTCCCAAGCCCACGGAGCCCTAGAGGTTCCCTCAACTCACCAAGATTTGGGAAAATAATCCGGTCTGGATGGGCCAGAGCGCCTCCTAGAGGAGGAACGAGAAAGGGCAGGAGAGTGAGACACCCCTTAGGAGTTTTCTTCACCTGAGCAACTCAAGAAAGCCATCCGGGACTTCCGGGCAGTTAATAGGAAGAGGGAGTGGGGGGTGGGAGAAGGCTGCGGCGTGGGACTTCCATGGAAGGAAGGTCCGACAGCAGGGCCTGTGGGGTTGGTGGGGTGATCTGGCGATAGCCGGAGAGAGGACGAGGGCCCAGCGGAGCGGCTGAAGACTTCCTGGGGGTTGGGGCCGGCAGTGCTGGGGGTGGTGGCAGGGGCTGGAGGGAATGGGCAGGCAGGATGGAGTGCGGGGCCGCACTGCAGGGAGTTAGAGCTGCTGGCCCGGTGACAGAAGGCTGGGGGGTGGTCTCGTTTCGGCTCTTACCAAGGAGGAGGAGGAGGAGGAGGAGGAGGAGGAGGGTGGCCAACAGCATCCTGGGCTGTCCAGAGGTGCCGGAAGGGTGCCGGAGCTTCTGTGGTCTACCCGATGGGGTCGCGGCGGAGCCCCGGCCGCCCAGGCTCCCCGGTGCCGCCTCCCCAAGGGGGCTCCATGGCCCGGGCTCGACTGGTGCTCTGGATGCCAGGGCTGGGGGCGGGGAAGCGGCGGCAGCCGGGGAGTAGGGGCGGTGCCTTTCGCCAACTTTGGAGTTGTTTTCTCCGGCGGCCGCCGCCGCACTCTTTCTCCCAGGACTGGCTCCCGAAGTCCCGGATCTCGGCACTGGGTCGCGCCCTCACCTACAGCCCGCCCGCAGGCCGCGAGCGCCCCTGGCCTGGCCTGGCCGCCACCTGCCGGGGTTTGAGACCACTTCCTCTTCGGGCCAAACTTTGCCGACTTTCAGCCCCTAGGGCCGGCCGGGTGCTGCTCCACTCCTCTAGCGCTTGCAGCCCGCGGAACGCGACACGGAAGCGGGGGAGGGGGAGAGGTGGCTCGGCCCGGCGCTCCGGCCCTTGCCCAGGAGGTACCCCCGCCCGCCCAGGGGTTGGAGTAGCCTGGGCGGGTGACGAGCCCGGTCCCACCCCTGCCAATCAACGAGCGGGCCACACCCACTTGCTCGCCTTAACCCCTTTCCGGCTCTGCCGGACTTGTCAGACGGGCCCTTGACTGGCAGCTTCAGCTTCCGCATTTAACCCTGCTTTGTTTAATCCTTGGGGTGTAACACGTTTGTCAGACGTTTGTCAAAGGACGTCTGCTTATTCCATAACTGTGATGTCTTTCCTTTGGGCCCTAAGCTCTCACTACTTTTCTTGTCCCGGGGTCTGAGATCCGGCAGCACTTTTTGGAGTGAGACTTTATTACAGCTATTACCACACGTTATGGTAACTATTTGTTCGTCATTCCCGCCCCCGTCCCGCCCCTTCTCTGCAAACAAACTTCCCGTAGGCTGGGGCCTAGACTGTTTACCATTGCACCTACAGGGCTTCTCTCCTGCTGAGACACAGGAAGAACTCAATAAATGGTAAATAAACGAATAAGTACTCCTTCTCCATTTGCTGGCTGTGACCTCCAGAAAATTACTTAACCTCTCTGTTCTTCTCAGGTATAAAATGCGGTTTATGATAGTGCAACTTCCTCTTAAGGTTGTTGCTAACATTTAAGCAGAGCAAGTTGCCTGACATACGGGAAGTGCTCCATATCGGGTAGCAACTATTATCAGTCACAGAAGGTATTTCTAATTTGTGTGAGCTGGAGGTTACCGATTTCCTGTGGCACTGATAGATAACATTAATAAACAATATTGAAGCTCAGAATTTTCAGTGAAAAATAAACACAACAAATAGCAAACAATTTTAGATTTTTCCACTTTTCAGGCACAGATCTAAGTAAGCACTCTACTAAATACTTAGGAACTACTTTAGTATATACTAAATACGTTAAAACTTCAAAGTATTTGCGGGTTTAATTCTCTCAACAACAGTGTGAGGTAGATACTATTGTTACTTCCAATTTCCAAGGCATTCCAAGAAATGCAGGCACAGAAAAATTAAGTATTTTGCCCAAGATGTAATACAGTGGGCCCTCCATATCTTGGGTTCTGCATTCGCAGATTTAACTGATCGTAGACAGAAAATATTGTCAGGGGTGGGATTGGGGGAATTGAGTGGAATTGCATCTGTTTTTTTGTTTGTTTGTTTGTTTGTTAGTTTTTTGAGACGGAGTCTTGCTCTGTCGCCCAGGCTGGAGCGCAGTGGCGCAATCTCCTCTCACTGCAACCACCACCTCCTGCCTCCCGCGTTCAAGGAGTTCTCCTGCCTCAGCCTCCCCAGTAGCTGGGATTACAGGTGCCCGCCGCCGCCATGCCCGGCTAATTTCTGTATTTTGAGTAGAGCCGGGTTTCACCATGTTGGCCAAGCTGGTCTCCAACACCTGACCTCAGGTGATCCATCCGCCGTGGCCTGCCAAAGTGCTGGGATTACAAGCATGAGCCACTGCGCCTGGCCATGAAGCTAGGGTTTGAACCTGGGCAGTCTGACTCTGGATAGAGTCCACATTCTGATCTTAACCACTTTCTCTCTTCTACAAATGATATAAAATAGTTTTGTTTTGTTTTGTTTGTTTGTTTGTTTGTTTTTGAGACAGAGTTTCACTCTTGTTGCCAGGCTGGAGTTTAGTGACTACCATCTAGGCTCACTGCAACCTTCACCTCCTGGGTTCAGGCGATTCTTATGCCTCAGCCTCCTGAGTAGCTGGGATTACAGGCATGGGCCACCATGCCCAGCTAATTTTTATATTTTTAATAGAGATGGGGTTTCACCATGTTGGCCAGGCTGGTCACAAACTCCTGACTTCAGGTGATCTACTCGCTTACAGGCGTTAGCCACTGCACCCAGCAATTTTAATTTTTAATTTTAATTATTTTTTGAGACAGGGTCTCACTCTACAAAATTGTGTAGTGGCACAATTTTGGCTTACTGCAACCTTAACTTCCTGGGTTCAGGTGATCCTCCCACCTCAGCCTCATGAGTATACACACGTGTGTCACCATGCCGGGCTAATTTTCTTTTTTTTTTTTTTTTTTGAGACGGAGTCTTGCTCTGTCGCCCAGGCTAGAGTGCAGTGGCACGATCTCGGCTCACTGCAACCTCAGTCTCCTGGGTTCAAGTGATTCTCCTGCCTCAGTCTCCCAAATATCTGGGACTACAGGCATGTGCCACCATGCCGGCTAATTTTTTGTATTTTTAGTAGAGATGGGGTTTCACTGTGTTAGAGAGGATGGTCTCAATCTCCTGACTTTGTGATCTGCCTGCCTCGGCCTCCCAAAGTGCTGGGATTCAGGCGTGAGCCACTGTCCCCAGCCTAATTTTTGTATATTTTGTGGAGATGGGGTTTCACTATGTTACCCAGGCTGGTCTTCAACACATGGGCCAAGTGATCCTCCTGCTTTGGCCTCCCAAAGTGCTGGGATTATAGGCATGAGACACTTCACTCAGCCTATTTATTTATTTATTTATATTTAATTTTATTTTTCTGAGACAGAGTCTCACTTCATTGCCCAGGCTAGAGTGCAGTGGCACAATGTTAGCTCACTGTAACCTCCACCTCCCCGGCTCAAGTGATTCTCATGCCTCAGCCTCCCAAGTAGCTGGGATTACAGGCGCCTGCCATCATGCCTGGAAAATTTTTGTATTTTTAGTAGAGACGGGGTTTTGCCATGTTGACCAGGCTGGTCTTGAACTCCTTACCTCAAGTGATCCACCTGCCTCGGCCTCCCAAAGTGCTGGGATTACAGGCATGAACCACTGCACTCAGCCCTATTATTTTTATTTTATTTTATTTGAGATGGAGTTTCGCTCTTGTTGCCCAGGCTGGAGTGCAATGGTGCGACCTCAGCTCACCACAGCCTCCGCCTCCTGTGTTCACGCAATTCTCCTGCCTCAGCCTCCCGAGTAGCTGGGATTACAGGCATGCGCCACCACGCCCAGCTAAATTTTTTTTTTTTGAGACAAGAGTCTGGCTCTGTCATCCAGGCTGGAGTGCAGTGGCGCCATCTCAGCTCACTGCAAGCTCCGCCTCCCGGGTTCATACCATTCGCCTGCCTCAGCCTCCCGAGTAGCTGGGACTACAGGCATCTGCCACCATGACCGGCTAATTTTTTGTATGTTTTTTAGTAGAGGCAGGGTTTCACCGCGTTGGCCAGGATGGTCTCGATCACCTGACCTCGTGATTCACTCGCCTTGGCCTCCCAAAAGTGCTGGGATTACAGGCGTGAGTCACCGTGCCTGGCCTAATTTTTATATTTTTAGTAGAGACAGGGTTTCTCCATGTTGGTCAGCCTGGTCTCGAACTCCTGACTTTAGGTGATCCGCGCGTCTCAGCCTCCCAAATTGCTGGGATTACAGCCGTGAGGCACTGTGCCCGGCCGGCCCTATTATTTTTAAAGGCTAATCAAATAAGCAGTGGGAGTGGAAAAGGGATAAAGAAATCTGTAACTGATTGTGATCAACTAGTTGTAAACACCACTGTAACAGACCAGTCAGAACAGTTTTCTTTTTTGTTTGATTGTTTTTTGCTGTTTTTTGAGACAGGGTCTCACTCTGTCGCCCAGGCTGGGGTGCAGTGGCACGATCTCGGCTCACTGCAACCTCCACCTCCTGGGTTAAAGCGATTCTCCCACCTCAGCCTCCCAAGTAACTAGGATTACAGGCACGTGCCACC